TATGGTTGGTTTTATTTCCTACAGAGAATACATAGCACGCTGTGGAATTCTGGGGAGGATAAACATAAAGCACAAATTAAGAACAGGGGACTAAAGAAACGAGTATGATAATCCATGTTGGCTTCTTTAAGTGACTGCGGTGGCGAGACACGGGAAATATTTGCATGTCCTTCATGCCAGGACGCCACATCTGAGCCATTTCCATTTAGAAATGATGCATCACGGATTAATCTCCAAAAGAGCTTTATCTTTTCCAAAGTTCACGTCAAGACCAAATGCACTTTAATATGATTAACATATCAGCCGATAGATCATCATATCATTGCATTCAGTAAGAATCTGAACCTGCAACGCAAACAAATGTGTATATGTGACAAACCACCAAATTGCAAAAATATCGGACTCTTAAATTTGCCCGATTTGCAGGTGAAAATAACATTTGAAGCAAATCTATGTCACTAATCAACATAAAAAAAATGCAATTCCATTTAACTTCATATCTAGGATTCCATTTACTCCCTCCGTGCCACACGGAGGGAGTAAATCCTCCGTGCCACACGGAGGATTCATCCGCGCTGCGGCACGGAGGAATCCTCTGTGCCACACGGAGGAATTCTCCGCGTTTCCTCTGTGTCCCAGGGAAGATTTCTCTGCACGGATGCCTATCATTACAAAGAAGAGCAAGAAAGGATTACAAAGAAGAGCAAGAAGAGGGAATTTCAAGGCCGTTTTGTTTTCATATTTATTTTATGGGTACGAGCTTTTACAGCTGGGAGATATTTTTCCATAACCGGATATTTTATATGGACATACTGGTTAATCAACAGTAATGAACACTAACAATCCGTTTGGGTGTGAAAACGTTAACCATTCAGCCATGAATGCTTAGCGGGGATCCTCGTACATGGTGAATAATTAAATTTCAATTGAAATGAAATCTTTAGAATAAATCAATGCAATTTATGAGGAATCAATGAAAGGACATCAATTCAAATTCTAGATTTTTGAATTGAGAGAGATCAATAATTCTCACTATTTCTTGGATTCA